ACGCTATGGAAGATGGGGTAAGCAGGGTGCAGGAGCAGAGGGGAGGGGAACACTCTGACAGCCCCCCTCTTCCTTCCCACCCCCCTGCACAGCAAGCAGGAGTCTCGGGGAGCAGCTCCAAGGCAGAGGGCAGGAGCAGCACATGGCAGTGGGGGGAGAGACAGGTGAACTGCCGGCAATTGCTAGCCTGCTGGGCAGCTGCTGCACAGGAAACTTAGGGGTGCAGGGAGCTGATAGGAGGGCTGCCGCTCCACCCTGGTTCCAAGCCCCCACCAGCTAGCTGCAACAGGCTGCTCTTCTTGCAAGCAGTGGACAAAGCAGGCAGCTGCCAAATGACGTTAACCAAGATGACTTTAAGTGAGGAGTTACTGTAGATGATATAACTGGTCCTATGTCCAATGCAGTTTAATACAATGTATCATCCTAATAATCAAAACTGCTTTAACTGTTTGTCAGTGGCAAATGTCTAGTTACTGAAATGCACCTTGTTAACAGGAAATTATCCCACCCAAAGCTGGTACAGCTTTATGGAGTGTGCATACAGCACAAGCCTCTCTACATAGTGACTGAGTTCATGGAAAATGGCTGCCTGCTCAATTACCTTCGGCAAAGACAAGGGAGGCTTAACAAAGAAATGCTATTAAGCATGTGTCAGGATGTCTGCGAAGGGATGGAGTATCTAGAAAGGAATAGATTTATTCACCGTGATTTAGTAAGTACAGCAGGCCCTCTGTAATTTGCAGTGACAGTAACAAAATACATGTCATTACACCTTATGGGCACTAATGTATTTTGTAAGTGTTGTTTAACTACTGCAGGATCCAATGGACCAACAGTGTGTTATTTTGATGAATATATCTGTATTGTTGTATTCTGATGCTCACTCATTTTTATTGTGGTTTGTGGATTTTGTAACATTATGTTTAAGGTATTAACCCTTAAAATGTGCATATGTGTGTGGTGTGCTGCATAAATTAATGTATTTAAACTGCTTGCTATAAATGTTCTTAAGTTCTGTAGGCAATTGCTGCTGTTGAAAATTCACAGCTGTATTACAACTTCCTTTAAACAAAAGATATTCCCGAAGAGTTAGAGAACACTTTAGTGACTGAATAGAGTGAGAGAAAGTAACAGTGTTATCTGAGGCCTTGGCTACACTTGCAAGTTACAGCGCTGTAAAGCCTCCCCCAGCGCTGTAACTCACTCCCCATCCACACTGGCAGGGCATTTGCAGCACTGTATCTCCCTGGGTACACCGCTGCAGGTACTCCACATCTCCGAGAGGAATAACAGCTGCAGCGGAGTGGCTACGACTCACGGGTGTGAGTGTAAACGCTTGCAGCGCTGTACTAATCACCTTGTCAAGTGGCCAATCCTCTCCATTGTTGTGACCGGCTGCAGGAATGCGGAAGTGCCGGTTTCAAAGCTTGTACTGCAGACAAAAGCAAACAGTTTGCAGCTTGCTTTGAGTGAGTAACCGAATGAGCAGGGGGCCGGG